CTACTTCTTGCTCAGAATTCTACTGTCTTGCCATAAAGGTTTAAAAAAAATCCCCTCTTTTCATCAAGGGTTTAGATTATTTCTTTATCTTTTTGAGATTGCTTCTATGTCTATGGCCTGCATTCTATGGTTACATTAACCTTCCAATTTTCTGAGCTAATGTTTCTCATCATTTGCTCTTTCCTTTGGGTGACTGTGTGACTGGCCAACCTGTCTGCTCTGACAGTTCATTAGACAGTTCTAGGGGGCCATAGAGTTTTCAAGGACCTGGGAACAGAGAGCAGCCTGGAGAGACCCTTCTCCACCTACCCAAATGGACAGACACTGGCCCCCGGCTCCTTAGAGATAGTAGCTTGCTGGGGGCAAGGAAGACTGGCAGACAGGGTCCTGACTTTCAGACACCCCTAGATGAGAAAACATCCTTCAGGGTGGGGGATGAGGACATGAAATTGCTTGCTGTGGTACCTATCATTTTGCTAGGGACAGTGAAAACACAGTCTGTCATCCTTGACATTTTAATTGAAAGAAAAGCTTACATAGATTTCAGCCATAAGCAGTATGTTTATACAAGTGTATAAAGAGAAATAATCTGTCAAGTTGGAAAACTCTTAATTCTGTAGGACTCGATTTAGTAATTGAACAATCCAACATGAGCTCACACATCTTACCTTGTTCCATGCCTCAATAATTTTTAGTAGAAATACTTTACCTAGAGGCATATGGTTATTAACAAGGAGGCACGGCTCACTCAAAGTCTGGAATTATTAGCTCATGGCAACAAGCCTGCACTAGAGGAAAAGACTGTTGGGTCTTTGTTTTCACAACTTTATTGCTATTTTGCAACCTTATTTTCAAAATCTAATCGATGGCTTGTGTGGGAAGGTTTTTGTTTGTTTACCTTCTTAAGGAAGAAAATAAGACGTTGACATGAGTGACTGATTTCTTCTGTTAGCAGTATTCCATTATTTTACTACTTCATGGAAATTCCAGGGAGCAGTGTGAATATCAAAAGAAATGGACCGTGAATTTATTTTAGCATAAAAAGTCAATAGTAATTTAGTTATGGGACCATCAAGGTGTGATGGGGGAAGCTCTGTTTTACAAGCTGAGGATAAGCCGGGCTCCCTTTCCTGACCCATCTGACCTTGGGCAAATATAAATGTATGTGAGTTCAGTTTACTCCTGAGTAGATTTGGAATAATATGACCTACCTACCACACTGCCATGTTCCAAATCTTGTAAAATGAGCAATATGAAAAAGTATGAAGCATTATTCAGGTGCAGCATAAAAAGTTTTATGAAAACACACTGTATTAGATATTTATTTCAGTACTGTATACACAAAGGGGTTAGACAGCATAATTGTTTCAATATCACTTGCCTTAAAAATATGAATATTTTGGACAAATGCAGATTTCTGTGGTCCCCACTCTACAAGTAAATCCTCAATCTGATCCTGTTTTTTTTCTTTTTTCTTTTTCTTTTTAAAATGTTTTTTAAATACTGTGGATGAACTCCAGGGTCTCACACATAGTAGGCAAGCCCTCTACCACTGAGTAATATACCTCCAGCCCTGGTTCTTTATACACATACTGATGGTATAAAGTTTTCTTTTTAGTTTTTATAGTTTTAAAACTCTAAGCAAGGAACCTAGAAACTTCTGTCAGTTTTGTAGGTAGGAGTTGGGGAAATAATATACAGAATCTGTGAAAAAACAAGAACCTTAGAATTATTTAGAATCTAAACATACAGGCATCTGAAATAATCATTTTCCCTTCCAAGTATATATTGGTAACTGGTTTCATTGGTATTACTTAGAAACCATAATTAGAATCTTGAGAGAGCCTAGTACCCTGAAAGGCTTTCTTAACCAATAAGAAAGCACTTGGCATTGTAAAATTTAGTAGATTTATGCATGGTGTGAAGATAACTGGTGTACTCAGAACAGTATATTCAATGAAACATGCCACTTTCCAACTATTCTATACAACTGGGAGTTTCTGTCATTTGGAGAAAAATGAAAACTCATTTTGAATTTAATTACTTTTACATGTCTATTCTCATCATCATTGAGTTGTCTCATTGATTTCTTTTTTAAAAAGCATACATCAATAACAGCTAATGACCAAGTTTATTTTTAATATGTCAGTTTAGAAACAGAATGCAAATGATGCTAATCTGTTACCCTTTGTTTTGTGAGGATATCACAAAATCAGCATCATATGAAGAGATGACTTTAGTTGTCTTTTCTAGAACAGTTTTTGTCTCTTCTTGTCTGTAATTGAAGCTTTTTTTTGTATTTTAGGGAAGGGTATACAGGGTGTTCAGGGTCTCACTACTAAATCGACTCATAATGATCCTCCTGTTTACAGCCTCCCAAGAGCTGGGATTACAGGCGTGTGCTACTACGCCCAGTCTCAATTGCTGCTTCATGTGTAATCTCAGAGGCAGAGTGAGTACAGCAGGACCAGGGATTGAACCCTCAGCTCCTGTGTCTGCTTGTAGGCACTTTAATCCACTTTAAGTTGGCTGGCCCTGAAGCTTTTCCTCTAGAGACAGGAGGATGTAAAAATAAGCTATGCATGTGTATATGTGTATGAATAGGTGCACACATGAACATCGATTTAGATGAATAGATGGGTAATAAGCCTTATACAGAGTACACTCAAGAATCTTGCTCATAATCAGACAAAAGAATTTCGATTATTAATTCAGAACCCAGAGGAAATTACTGTTATTAAGTATTATATATTTTCATATACAACCATGATCCTTTCATTGAAGTTCCCAAACAGAATGTTAAGACTGGGGAGTAGGGCCTGGGGAGATGGCTCAAGGCAAGGGCCTGAGTTCAATCCCCGGTTCCACAAAAAAAAAAAAAAAAAAAAAAAAAAAAAAAAAAAAAAGACTGGAGAGTATAAAACAAGCATTGCCATTGTATGCCTGTGAACTTTGCATCATCGCCTCTGAAGGAAGCACTGTACTCATGCTCTCCTGTAGCGTTTTGGAGCACTTAGATCTCGAAGACTCTTCCAACTATGGGAGCTTGTAGGCCTTCACAGGCATGGTGTTCTTCACTGTCAGTCCACCCTGCAGAGGTCCCAAAAGTACATGTCAAGAAATATTCTTGACACCTCACTTGCTGATCGGAAAACACTCATTTCGTTGATATAAGCTACTACATTAGCTTCCACACACATTCTATTAATAAAACCGGGTGTAATTTGTATGCATTGACACAACCTCTGTGGAATGGCTTAAAGTCTTCCATATTTTCACATATGCACCTTCTTAAGTGTATAAATCTTGACTAATTTATGACTAATCCTTGTAAGATATGTGTAACTATGATGTTTCCAAAAGAGCTCTCATGAAAAAAAAAAAAAAAAAAAAGGGTGGAAAACTTAATCTTCTCTGGAATTTCAACAGCAATGTGAACGAAGAACATGCTGGCATCCTTTCCACCACCATCCAATCCCCGCTTCTTTATGGGTCCCCCAGGAAGACACAGGGGCTAACAGAGTAGCTCCCCACACCCCTCTGATTGGCTCATGCACAGGGCCTTGGTTCCTCTGCGCGGAGGACAGAAGCATCTGTCATTGCCGCCTTCCCCAGTTCTTAGCACGAGGGGGATCTCCCTATTTTAGTAAGTGAACTAATTCTAGAAGTACGAGTTGGTCACAGGACACACAAGAGAAGTTGCTTAATGTGGACGACTCTGATGTTTTGAGAGGACTTTGTTTTGTCTAGTTTGTTGTTAAACCTTTAATTTAATAGTTTACCATTTATATAGCTCCCCAGACCAAAAACATCAGGAGATTGAGAATTTAGCTGGGAAGATCACTTGTTTGCCATTTTTAATAAACACAAATAATTTCCTTTCTCCCTCAGCTCCACATTCCCTGGCTCGTTAAATCAATTTAAGGTCCTTAATTTTTTTTTCTTTTTTTCCTGTTTTTTTTTTTTTTTGGCAAGTTGAAGCAGCAGCTCCAACTATGTGCTCCCCTGAGTAATGCTTACCCAACTCCAGCAGGTCAGGCCCAAATCAGTTTCTGTCAAACAGCCTAACACCTCGAGTTATATGAAATGAGAAATTGGTGGTGGGGGCTGGGCTCTGGACTCATGCCCCGAAAGGCAGCCTTGGCTCTGCAGCCCATAATCTGGCTGCTTATGTTTGGGCCTTGACTTGGGATTTTTCGATTCACAGTGGAGAATTAGAAAAGATTCAGATGGATTTCTCTTCTTTTTTGTTTTCTTTTTCTTTTTTGTATTTAGTACAGGGTTTATGGGGTCTCACTACACAGATTGGACTCGTAACGATCCTCAGTTTTCAGCCTCCCGAGTGCTGGGATCACAGGCCCACACCACCATGCCCAGTCTCAGTTGCGCTCTCAGCACGTCTCTGGGGCGGGGCTGGCACAGCACACTGGGGATCGAACCCTCAGCCCCTGAGTCTGCCTAAGCAGGCGCTTTAGTCTGCTGAGCTATCTGGCCCGCCAAAGTGGATTTCTGCTAGAATTCATGAGCTGAGTTTGCTGTGCCAATGCAGAGAGTGCCAGTGTATCCAGAGCAAAGCTAGGTGGGCTCGAGAGCAGAGAGAGGAGGAAGGATGTTGGTAAAACATGTGTACCTCCAGCTCTAAGATGCCTGAAAGACTGAGAAGAAATTCTCAGCAGGCCCAGGATTCCACACTCAAGCCCTTTCCTTAGAAGCAGGACTGCGAGAGGTTCACCAGATTGTCTCTGTTGAACATTGGTGAGATAACAGGACTCAGGAAATGAAGTGGAATTTGATGTATTTACTAGGAAGCAGCAAAGGAAATCAGGCTTGTATTTTATTTGTTATTATTTCCCTAATATCCTCAATTACGTGGCTCTCCCATCACTGGCGCTGGTCTGCTGCACATGTGATGTGGATGTGGGTGTTCCCACTGGTTCTGGGCCGCAGTGAACAGGCCTAGAGACGAGGAGTAATCTCGGTTGTTTTTCCTTTGTTCCCAGGCCTGTCCCAGGCTCTCTATCTTCTCTGCTACATCTCCACAACAGACAGAGACAGCCAATGCCAGCCTCCATGCCTGGGACCCTGCCCAACCCAACCATGCCCGGATCTTCTGCTGTCTTGATGCCGGTAAGAGCTTGCGGGAGTCCCATTGAAGCATCTCCAAGGAGCGGAGACTTGGTGCTCCTGAGACAAGGAAGAGAAGCTGTGCTCGAGCCTGACAGAAAGCAGGCAGCAGCTTCCTGACGAGCAGCCAGCTGAGCTGGGTGCCTGTTTGTCTCAAAGGCTCAGCCGCTGATCCCCAGGCATTTTGCTGGCTCTCCTGGCCTCTGGCACTTTGCTAGGAGACAGGGTCCTTCTCTCTGCTAATGACCAGTGACTCTGCAATTCCCACAGAGTGGAATTTGCTCAAGGAGGCCACGTTTTCTAGCTACAGTTAGCCTTCTCTGTCTGGGGATTCCACATCTGCAGTTCAACCAACAGTAAATGGAAAATATTTTTTATTTTTTTAAAAAACTATTTGTTTATATATATATATATATATATATTTATTTATTTGATACAGGGTCTCACTATGCAGTGATCCTCCTTGTCTGAGCCTGCCTAGGGCTGGGATCACAGGTGTATGCCACCACACCCAGTTTCAGGGCCTGCACGGTGCAACTGGGGTTCGTAGGCTAGTACAGCAATGCAATATTGGGGATCAAACTCCAGTTCTTGTGTTTGCTAGGTGGGTGCTTAGACTACTGAGCTATCTCCCCAGCCCAGAAAATACTTTTTATTTTATTTTTTCCCTGTACTGAGGATTGAACTCGGGACCTTGTGCCTGCCAGGCAGGCACTTATGCCACTGAGCTATATTCCCAGCCACCGGAAAATATTTTTTAATTACACCTGTACTAAACATGTGCAGATTCTATTTTATTTCTTGTCATCGTTCTTTAAACAATATAATAATTATTTACATAGACTTCACATTGCAGTAGATATTATAAATATTCTAGAGACGATTAGATACATGGAGGATATGCATACATTCTACTGAAATACTGTGTCCTCTTTTTGAAAACCCACAGCCTTTGGTATAAATGTGAAAGAGAGCTCTAGAACCAATCCCTTTCAGCTACCAGGGATGACTGCACTCCAAAGTCCAGCTTGACTTGTGTACACTAACAATAAACTGTCAATGATCTAGACAGTATTCAGAGTAATAATTATGATAATAATAGCAATAATTATGATCATACATAATAGCTGCTAACATGTATTTATGCATATTGTTTTCTATAAATCATGCTGGCAGCATTTATTGAATGTTTATTGTGTGTTGGTCACTTTCCAAGCACTTTGTCAACACATGGAACAATTCTAAGGGGTGGACCTAGTCCTGCCCCCATCTTTTGAAGGAGGAAGGTAAAGCAACCAACTTGCTCAGCTAAGGAGCAGAGCAGTGAGACTTAAACCCAAGAGTTCTGGCTTTAAAGCACATTCTTTCATTACTAAGGTATATGCATATTCTACCCCTTCACATTTCCAATGGGGAAAGCACTGTTACTACAGTGATTTTACAGATGAGCAAATGAAAGCACAGAGGGGCTGAGCAATAGCTCATAGGTGTTGGAGTTGGGATTCAAGTCCACAATCTGACTGCCGAGTTCCCATTTGTACTCACGATGTTTTATTGCTCTCCTCTAAAATGATCAATAAGTGCAGAGGAGAGGTTTAAGCTGCTGCAGAGGAGAACTTGCCCTCCTTCCACAGGTCCTCCTCCCCATCCTTCCTCATTCTCTTTGGCATTGCACCTTGGGAATATGGCTGGCATTCTGATTCACAGGGCTACAGGAGTTCTTAAAATCCCCAGATATGGTGCAACAACTTAGTTAAAATCCTCCCATGAGAGACTAAAAAGGGCTTGCAGAGCATTTCAACATTTTAAAACATTGCCAACACTTTTATGCTGTCTTATTTCCCCAGCAGTTCTATGGGGATAAGGTAGCTGTAATTATTGAATATCCATACTGTAGATGAAAATCTGAAAGGTAGGAGGTAGAAGGGAGTTGTTTAACATCAAGTAGTTTATGAATAAGGAGTTGTGACTGGAACCACATCTCAGCACGGAGTGACTTAGATCCACCCTAGTTGAGCAATTCATTTGTTTTGTAATACAAGCTGTGGAGGGGAGAAGGACTCAGGGGACTCAGTCTAGAGAAACAGACCTGACAGGGTGGTCCAAGTTGGAGCAACCTTGTAACCTCGAGTAGAGGATGGGCAGATCAAGTGGATTGATTTTACCCACAATACTCCTTCATGGGTGAAGGAAAACAACACCATCAGTGCAGTTCTACATGGTTCTGTTCAGCCGAACCAATTGCTCAAGGATTGCCAACACAAGCTGTCTTTATTTAGACTCTAAATCCTTCTTATCCAATACTGTATTAATTTCTTTTCAGAACTTCTGCACCCTATCCAGAAAAATGCCACTATGAGAAGTTAATTAATGTATGCTTGTATGTATATATGTATGCATGTGTGTTTAGTTAAGGCATGCATCATTCCCAGGGATGAAAGCAGAACACTTGGGCTGCAAGGCACTAGAGAAAATGTGTTTGGACCTGGGCTCTGCATTATTTCTTCCTAGAACTTGACCTCCTGTTGATACTTCAGGATAGAAGCAGAGATTCAGGGGCAGGGGCCAGAGCCAGTGTCGATGGCAAGTCAGGGATGCCAGCCCTGCAGAAGTTCCCAAGCCCCTGTCTGTGATGTGCATAGCTGCCATGACAGTAGGTGTCAGCCTGGAGCAGTAATTCTCAATTGGAGGCAGTTCTATTCCTCAGGGGCTATTATCTGGATGCACGTTGGTTGTCGCATCTGGACTGGAATGAGAGTACCGGCACTAGTGGGCAGAGGCCAGGAATGCTGGTAAATGGCCCTCTGTACTCAGGGCAGCCTGTAATAAGCAATTAGTTGACCCTAAATGGCAAAAGCACTGATTTTGAGAAGCTTTGGTTCAGATGCCTGAACCAGACATCTGAACACCCATGTATTCTTAAGAGATTTTTTTTCCTGTATTTTAGGGAAGGGTCTACAGGGTTTTCAGGGTCTCACTACTAGATTGGACTTGTAGTGATTTTCTGTTTACAGTTTCCCAAGTGCTGGGATTACAGGCACACTCCACCACATCCAGTCTCAATGCTGATGTTATCAACAATAATTAATATAAAATCTCTAAGTATATCCTAAGAGTTTCAGGCCCCTAAAATCCAGGTCTTTTCTTTACTTGTTTTTTTATGTGACTTTGACCTTCTGAGGATGGTCAAGAGCAGCCTCTTCCCCTAGAGTTCCTGCCGTGGGAAACCTAAGTCCTAAGGTTAAAAGGTGAGAGTGTGTCTTTAGGTGAAGGTGAGATTTTTTTAACTGATTTGTAATGTATGTGGTCAATGCACACATTTCACAAAGCCTTGGGCTAGAACGAAATGATATATTCATTCATTCATTCCAAGAACTTATTGTCACCCTCTCTGGTGCTAGAGCACTGTGCTAGATGCTGAGGTTGTAGGGAGAACAGGACAAAGGAAGAGAAAATACTTCCATGGGTTGTGATTTCCCATATTAGAAGTCAACTAATAATTTAGGCATGTGAACACCCATATATTCCTCTTTATGTAAGTGCAGCCACCGGTTGACAGTCTAACTCTTGTTTTCTCTGTATGAAAAGCAGGGGGATTCTTTATCAGTTTTTCTTTTGTTGTTTGTGGTGCTGTGGATCAACTGCAGGGCCTCGGCATGCTGTACGAGCTCCTTGCCGCTGAGCTGCACCCACAGCCCCTGCTCGGAAATTTTGCCTGTAATGCTGAGTGTTGTCCAGCGTCCATCAGCCGCACTCCAGCTCCCAGTCTCTTCACTCCATTCAACTGATTAAAGCCCAGCTTGGGGGCAGACAAAGGCTTGTTAACACAAAGCACCAAATCTTTTCTGCAGAGAGGCCCTTCCTGACACTCTGTGTTTGCATAACAATAATTAACAAGATGGAATATGCAATTTTTGTCTGTTCTCTTGGTGCTGGAAATCTAATTCAGGACCATGGGTATATAAGACAAGAAAGACTCTATCATGGAACTATACCTCAGCCCCCACTTTTTTTCAAATATATGTAGTTCATGGTCTGCAGTGTCTACAGGGTCTCACTACACAGATCGGACTTGTAGTGATTGTCCTGTTTTCAGCCTCTCCAGTGCTGGGATTACAAACATGCTCCACAATGTCCAATCTCATTGGTCTTCTCAGTGCACCCCGGGGGCGGGGCTGGTACTGCATGCCAAGGATCAAACCCTGGTCCCTGAATCTACCTAAGCAGGAGCTTTAGTCCACTGAGCTATCTGGCCGGCCCACAACCCCCATTTTTGCAGCAGAGAAATCAGCCTGTTTGAAACTAGTAATTTGTGAGTCATGGAGTAGAAACAATTATAATGCACACTTAAAAAAAAGAAAAAAAAAATGGAAAGGACTGCTGACTCCCTATCTAGAAACCAATAAACAGGCTACTTTCATCTCCTTGTATAGCTAGTAACTTGGAAGACTACGGCCAATTACTCATACTTTTGAAAGAGGCTTCTTTGGAAAAGTGATGGCAGAAGTTCATTTGTGCCTGGATTTCTCTCTCTGAAAAGGTCGTCTACTGTACTAAGTAGTCAAATGCTACTCTGACTCCCCCACCCTCTCCTATCCCCCTACCTCTGGGAGTGGGAGTTATCACTGAGATGCATTTCTTAGAGCAATGGAACTGTTGAAATTTTCATGACGTAACAATTAGGATACGTGAATGGACTTAATGGCTTTGAACTTAATGTACTTAATGACATTAAAAGTGTATGGTAAGTGTATTTTACCTTAATTAAAACAATGATTTTAAAAATTAAACGTGTCTGGGCTGTTTGGAGATTTGGAAAGTACATGGGCCTGAATGTGTTATGTTTTGCTGCATTGGTAAGACGTCAAAAAGTTTTGCTGCAAGTGCTCTGGAATATTTAAAAAAAAACTACCTTGATTAGCTCCTTCTCACACAATTTAGCATATCCAGATAATTGATCTGCTAATTCAGACTAAGGCCAATGCTGAGTATCTCCAGTCAATTAAACAAAAACTTTTAGCCCACACTTATGCTAATTAGCAGATGAAGGTCCTAATTGAACTGCTCCTGCCAGAGCAGACACAAGCGAATCACACTTTCAGATTTTCAACAATGGAATGGATTTTCAGAGTCATTTAGATACGTGACCGCTTTCACACTTCCCTCTGGTCCATCATCCATGTCCATCTTGTCCACTTTCCATTTTCTATGACTTGAAACTGACAGGAAACTTCCTATAATTTCCAAGAGGACCTAAGCTGACTTAGAATAAATGCTTGATTTCCCCAAACTTCCAACCATCCTTTTCATTTTCATTTATGGGCAAATGCAAACATATTTGTATTCAATAGACTATTTTTCCATAAAGAAAATATAATTATTTTTCTGGATGATGATAGATTAGATACAGTTGATTTAGCTTATTTTATGAAAAATATTACTTGTCTTCTAACAGAAAAGATTGTTAACCAGATGCATCCTTCCTGGATTGAACTGGAAAATTTGCCATATAAGTTGAGCATCTTTAAGTCCAAAATCTGAAACCTTTCGCCCACATGATGGAACAAGTGCAAATTGCCTATCTGACCTGATGTGATGGGCAACACTCAAAATACAGGAATGCTAAAAATATTGTATAAAATTACCTTCAGGCTATGCGTAGGAGGTGTTTATGAAGCATAAAACCATAAAGCATAGTTTCACGTTTAGACTTTGGTCCTGTCTTGAGGCTGTCTCATTACGTATATGCAACTATTCCAGAATCTGAAAACAAAATACTTACCATTCCAAGCTTGTCAAATGAAGGGTCCCCAACCCATACTTACTTCTTAATAAGAACATCCTGAAAACAAAACAATAAAAACACGGTACTTCAGGTATTGGAGTGATGTTAGTTCTAGATGGAGACAGGTCAGAGGAGGATAATGTGTCAGCACTGACCATGTGTCATCTAAAACCCATGGTGGCTCTCTTCTGTAGAACCTTGAGTTTGTCAGGAAGAAGGGAGAGATGGCCTCAGGAAAACAGCTCAAATACCTGGGCTGGGTCATTGTGACTATGTTGATGAGCTCCAGCAAAAGGAAGACCCACCATACTGGAGAATATTATTTTTAAAATAAGTTTATGGTTTTCTTATTGCCAAAAGATTCCTGTTTGTTGCATGCAATCTAGGGAGGAAAAAGTGTCAAAAATATCCCGAGACGACCATTTTATACTATATATATATTTTTTTTCCATGAGTATATTGTTTCTTACATCCATAAAAACAAGCATGATTAGTGATAGCTGGAATGTGTGAATAAGTGGAAATAAGTAGTGAATTTGTTTGGAAATGATTTACTAGGACAGTGTCTTGGGCATAAGAAGTCTTCTGTAGGAGAAAGAGCTTTGGGTGATTCTTTGATGTGCATAGGTTCAAGCTCAGGAGCACTTTGCTGAACATGCACCAGAAGTTCCAGTTTTCTCAGGAAATTCTAAAGAAATCCTAAAGGATTACCTGAAGAGGAAGCGCACCTTTGCCCTGACGGCCTTTCTCAGACTTCTAATTCTGTTGCATTCCTTCTCTTAGATGGAGAGACAAATGTCTGTGAACTCCAGCATCATGGGGATGCAGGGTCCCAATCTCAGTAACCCCTGCGCCTCTCCCCAAGTGCAACCAATGCATTCAGAAGCCAAAATGGTAAGCAACAGCTATCATTACCTATTTCCTGTTTCATGACTTCTTCTTTTGATTTCTACCCTGACTCAACATTGTCAGTTAAGCCAGCTAGAGGGGTTCTGTCTTTGTTTCGGTGAATAGATCTTCCTTTGGAAGGGCAGCTCAGAAACTGGCTCACTTTTGAGGATATTTGTTATAAGCACTTGATATCAGATGAGTATATTCTGAGCATTGGGTTGACATGTGATAATAGAGAAAAGGACATTGAGAAGTTTGGAGAGACATATAGGAGTTGGGGTAGGATATACGTGAGCATGTTTGCTCGCCATGTGAAATAAAGAAAATAATCTAGAGTTTCAACAGCTTCCTGAACATAGTGATCGCTTCAGTGCCAGCCTTCCTGCTGCCATGTTATTAAAACAGACCTTTGATTCTAGTGCTCAAATTATTATAGAAATATTTGGCATTTTTTAAATACGTGTGATATGTGACGTTGCTTTGAAAGGATGGGAGCTTTATTTTCTTTCAACCTGTACTGAAAAACACAATTTCAGGTGACAACTTTTAGTGATTTTTAACATATGATATTTGTGTGCGGTGAGATCAATCTTTCCAGCATCAGTGACAGATTTATGTATCTGTAGTCTCCTAAGCAGGACTAAAAGCAGTGTGTGTCTGTCATTGGAATATAAACATGCTTGGACTATTTAGCAGTTTCTTGATCCGAGTAATTAAAATAGGTTAAAATAGGTCATTCAATTTTTATACAGTTAAATTTGGATGTCACAGTTAGCAAAAAATTGAAGACTACAAAATGTACTATGCAAATTTTTTTGCATCTGGTATTTGGTGAAATGGTGTTTTCTAGAAGTTGAAGAGTCATCTCGCCTGCTTGCTGCCTGGCAGATTAGGGACTGCGCTGGTGTAAAAGGGCTCATGGCAGCTCTGAAGGTCAGTCACCAATTCCTACCCAGGGCTGGACTGACTGAGACCTGCGAACTTCCTTCTCGATGTCAGCAGGATGGTTGTTTGATGCCTGTCTTGGTCACTTTCTCTTGGAAACTTCATTCATTTGATGAGCAGCTTCTTGACCCGAGGAACTGACTGAACACAGTGTTGGCTACATTGGACAAATAAGATGTGTGGTCAGGAGAGTGTTCTTTGCTGTGCCACAGCTCCATGATGTGCCAAATGGCACCAGCGCCTGCAGCAGAGCTCGTTAAATCTTTTTGGAATCGGCAAATATTTTTTCAACTTAAGCCCAGTGGAGCCAAACCAAATACTTGCTGGCAGAATAAAGTTCAAACTGGCATCTGTTTTGGAGACCAAAGTAATGCCATTTACCTTTCTTTTTTTTTTTAAGGAAAAATAAAAAAAAATGAGCTGTGAAGGTACTTAAGGAAAAACAAAATTAAATTCTTTATGCATGGAGAATAAGCATTCTGCGTCTGGGCCTAAGACGTTCAACCCCAGTTGGATGATTCCTGAATCTTATTTGCCTCTGGGTCTATATTCCTTTTCAAAAGGGACCTTCCAGATAAACTTAAGAAGGGTTCTAAAATTTAATTCCAAACCAAATTTCTTTGCCAGTTGATTTTCATTGGATTTTATGCCACCACTTGACTCAGAAATGCCCTGACATTTTTCCTGCTGGCCAAGACGGTACATGCTTCCAAAAGTAGTACAGGTTTATAATTATTTATGTGTGTGAAATAAATCACACAGTATGGCAAATTAATAGTGAATAATGTGTACTCAAAACAAAAGGGAATTGATCTGTACTTGTAAAAATAGTGTCACCCACAAATGTTTGTTAAAGTCACAGAGCAAGCACGCTACTCTGCTGGTTCACGTTCTAAGTATTTCCAGGCCCACGGTGTCTGGGCTGATGAACTTGGTCATGGAGTTGGGGGGTTCAGAGCACAACTGAATCTTATTTGCTAGAGGTTGGAGATTTGTCTAGTTAATGAACTTGATCAGCTACTCCCCAGCTCCCACTCCTGCTCACCGTTATTGCCAATACATTAATCCAAAGGGAGAAAGGGCAGTACTAGCCACTTACATTTGGAAAAGTAGCATTCACTTAGAAGTTTGGAAAAGTGTTAAGTGAATTTTAATGTCACCCAGCTTCTCTTCCTCTGCTTGCTTTGTTTACTGGAAAAACCAGTGATTGCCATCTACTAGTTATACAGTATTTTTGAGCAGCTTTGGGGCTGCTCAGATGAAAAGCTTTTATAAAATCCCAAGCAGTGAAAAAAAAAAAACCTTCCATGATTTTAATGTCAGCCAGAGCCTCCCCAGGTTTCTCTGAACTATGGGCTTTGTTATTCTATGCCTAATTTTCTTCCTGTGTAAGACGGGAATGGATTCCAGATTTCAACTGAGACTCTTGTTTCACTGTTTTCAAGGACTTTTCCTAAGGTCACACACGGGCTATTGTGATGAATGCACTCGGCAGGGTGTGTTCTGAGAGTGCACAAGTAACCAGAGAGCTCCGAGGGAGGTGTTGCCCATTCCACACACCCCCAGACCTGCTCGCCTGGGAATCCTGTGTCTGTGTGTTCATTTCCAACTCCCCTTGGGCTCCCGACAAAAGCCATCATCCCGAGTATCTCGGGAAACTTGGAGATCTTAGAGGAAGACCAACCCTTAAGGCAGGATTGCTTTTCATGCGCAACTGTGCTAGATGCTCTCAGGTTAGGGAAAAATGGCATTGTTTTCTTTACATGAAACCAGTTATTTTTGTTTTGAACAGAGTAAACTGAGTGTTCTTAACAAGCTCCCAAATCCATTAATCTTGTCATCCTAAATCAAGAAGCATATATGCTAATCCTTTGATATAATGTGCATTAATATCAATGTACTATCCAAGATAGTTTTATTAGCATTGTGAATGATTATAATTTAGTTTTATGAATTTTTTGAAGCATTACACCAATAGAGAGAAGGTATTGCAGCTGTACAAATGTCCACACACATATGGGGATTAAACTTGGGGTTTCTTTCTAACCCAGCCAAACAATAGGTTCTTCTTTACAGAATCTTGGGACCTGTGTACCTGGTGTAAATTTTGAATAGTCAATGGGGAAAATAAGGGGATGAGGGGAATGAGCCTAGAAAAATGTGAAAAAGGAGGAAGAAAGACACAGAAGGTAGGGAAGTACAAACTTCACTGGGACAAGTTCTAGTCTCTGTGACGTGAGTGATTCTCCCATGATGTTCATGGCATTCTCAGAGTTACACAGACTTGTGGTCATTTCATTTTGTGGGAATTATACCAATTTTGCCTAGTTTTGAAAGAAGGTTTTGTTTTAAAGAAATTGATAATAAGCCAGTATGGTGGTGCACACCTGTAATCCCAGCTACTCAGGAAGATGAGGCAGAAGGGTCCAAAATTCAATCCCAGCCTGAACAATTTAAAGAGATCTCATCTTGAAAGAAGAGACAAAAATTAACTGGAGCTACCACTCAGTAGCAGAATGCTTTCCTAGCATGTGTGAGGTCCTGGTTTCAATCCCCATAACTGAAAAAAAAAATCTGGAAATAAATTTGGAAGCTCAATAATTAGTTGGAGGTTGAGAGGATTTGTCTATGTATCTGTCTTGTGTCTCACTAATGGTGAGATGACTACTACCCTACAGAAACAGATTAAAATAAAGGATGGCAGTAAACAACTATTTTCAAGGGTAAGGAGACCCCAGACTCCTGTCCACAGACTGTACCTTGAAGGTGTGTTTAGTTGTGCTTGATTTTGTCTTCAGCACTGGGACAAAGTTCCCACTTTACATGTGAGACGACAAAGGCTCTGAGAAATTTAAAAACTGACTCAGTGTCACGTTGCAACGGCTTAAGTCTCCCACTTCAGTGACAAAGGTTTTTGATCCTTTAAAACATACCATTGATCCTTTAGACAAAAATGTCACACAACTGCCAATGTCCATAGCTGTAGCTGCCAGATTAAATCAAATTCTTGGGGGCTGAACTCACGACCCACTCACTGAATTATATTTCTGTCCTTTTTTATTTTTTATTTTGCAACAAGGTTGTTCTCAGCCTGTGCTCAAACTTGCCGTTCTCCTGCCTTAGGCTTACAGCATCAAAATCAAATTATTTTTGTTATATTTACATCAAAATAGGGGTCAAGGATGACAAGTATAGTGTAGACCTCCAAAAACCTGGAGAAGGGGAGTTGGTAATAGTATTGAGTTCATCCTATGCTTTTATCAGAGCTTTGGTCTCATTACCTGACACAGCTCACTGTCTTGTTATCCAAACACACTTTTGTCTCTTCTTACTTTATATGTGCCTTTTTCTTACTCGACTGAGTGGAAGCTCCTTGAGGACAATTCTTGCATCATGCAGGTACCTGGAACTGTACAACACCCCAGAAGTGAGAACTGAATTTAATTGAGTTGAAATAATGAAAGGAACCAACTTTTACATCTGAAACAACAAAGGCTCTGAGGGAGGTGTTGCCCACTCCACAGCCCAGCAGACCTGCTCTCCCAGAAATCCTATGACATCATCAACTGAACACTTGTATTTGCTTTTTAAAAATTGTTTTAAATTTATTTTTTTCCATAATTTTATTGAGAGACAAATAGCAATGAGACAGCTTCAAATCAAATTGGTATGACAGTTTCAATAATTAACACATTGCATACTCTCTTGGGAAGCAGTGGGTAAGGGGGTGGGTGGGGCTGATAAAGAGTGGATAAAAATAGGTAAATTCCAAGCCAAGCAACCAGCTTTGAAAGAGTAGCTGGATACATTTAGTTTCTTTGAAAAATATCTGCAAATAACACCTATTGTACTTTTTCCTTTAGAGAAAAACAATATGTGTGTTACTTCAAAAAAACAGATGTTGGAATGTCACTGTCCTCCTAGGAATTAAGAGCAATCAGTACCTAATGTGGTTTCTTCCTTCGTGATGGGTTGTCCATGCTATATTTCAGTCTTTGGGGGCCTGCCCTTTAGCTCAGTTCTTTAAGTGGTTGCTTCAACAAAGCAGTCAGGCTCAG